ACTGCCACTCAATGCGTTTTCGATACGGCGCGAGCACACCAGGTGACCCACGAAGGGGGGGGTCACCAGAAAACTGGTTGAGAAAAAACAACTGTTTCACTTGCATTCTGGGCCTCAACATGAGGCGATACATTGCCACTCAATACGTTTTCCATACGGCGCCCTCCGAAGAATCCAATATGACTGCCACCGAAACATGTACGGACATGCGGCGCCGAACGGTGCCGGGCCATGTCCGAGACATGGCCCGGCACCCTCCGAGGAATCCAAGGTGGCAGTCATCTGGATTCCAGATACCAGATGGTGTCCAAAATGCGGCGCCGAGACATGCCCCTGGCGCCCTCCGAGGAATCCAAGATGACTGCCACCTGGCCCAAACAGGCCACCAGGGCCGCCAAGATTGCCCAAGACCGATTCAAGACGGCCCAAGACGCAAGACGACCTAAGATGGCCTCGAGACGGCCCAAGCGGCTTCCCAAAACGGCCCGACACGGCTTCAAAAGGGCATCCAGGGAGGAATCCTCCAGGACGGGGCTCCAGAAACCAGCAGAATCCATCAGGGCCCCTAAGATTCCTGGGGGGTCCTGGGCAAATCCAGGGGGTATGCTTCCGATTTGGGGGTGCTGCCGCAATTTGAAATTATTATTATTCTGGGCGCCTGCGGCGGAGTTTGGAGGGATGGAGGGTCGGATTTAGATTTGAAAAAGATTTCCAATAATATTTGCGAAACAAATTCGCAAGGACCCCGGTACATGTACGCGAGCGCCCCGTCATAAAGGGGGAAGGGGAAAGAGAGTCGAAGGAGCCGATTCTCTTCCTCCCCCTCCTCCTCCTCCTCCTCCTCCCCCTCCTCCTCCTCCTCCTCCTCCTCCTCCTCCTCCTCCTCCCAGTCGGCACCAGATTGCCAGATCGGATCGGCCTACCGCATGTTGCCCTCCACCCTCGAGGGGCGAGGCGGGGAGGCCTTCGGACGTCTCTTGCCTCTCGTCGGGCCTCCAAAGGCCTCCATGCTGGAGGCCTGGAGATGGGCACCAATCAACACCAAGACAGGGGGCTGCCTCCACAAGGGGGGAGATGATCCTAGATTTCGGTGTTGGTGGTCATATTTCGGTCACCTTGGAAGCCATCATATTACCACCATCACCAAGATCGGGATCTTCTTCCCTCGGTGGAGGAACACCGCCGAGATTGGTGTTGGTGTCAATCTCTAGGCCTGCGATCCATGGACGTCCCGGGGTCAGGATCCAGGGCAGCAGCAAAACTTACCAGATCGGATCGAAGCGAGCATCAGATCGGGCCGCATCGGATCGCCCGAAGATCAAAATCGGATTGGGCTGGACCTGGCCGAAGTCGAGATCAAATCAGACCGGTCGGCTCGAAGTGGGGCCTGCCTTATCCCTCCTTCTCTCCTCTACCTCCTTCCTGGAGGAGGTTCTTCCGCGGGGGCTGTGCCCTATCGTTGTCCAAGGGCGGAACGGGTGTCTCATCTGCTCAGCTCTTGATGGGAACCCTTGGCCCAGCTCTGACATTGGCGCCCTTCGGAAACTGTGCAGTCACAGTCATCATCATCATCATCATCATCATCATCATCATCATCATCATCATCATCATCATCATCATCAACACCATCATCATTATCACCATTATCATCATCATCATCAGCATCATCAGCATCATCAGCAGCATCAGCATCAGCATCAGCATCAGCATCAGCATCAGCATCATCATCATTATCATCATCATTATCATCATCATCGTCATCGTCTTCGTCATCGTCATCGTCATCGTCATCGTCATCGTCATCAGCACCAGCCTCAGCAGCATCATCATCAGCATCATCATCATCATGATCATCATGATCATCATCATCGTCATCATCATCAGCATCAGCATCATCATCAACACCACCAGCATCAGCATCAACATCCTCCTCCTCCTCGTCGTGAGCGTCGGCACCGTCTTCGTCGTGGTCACAATCACGAGCATCATCCAAATGCTAAGCCTCAGCACACCATCGGCGTCATCAGTATCATCCTTATGACCACCACCACCACCATCACCACCATCACCATCACCATCACCATCACCATCACCATCACCATCATCATCATCATCATCATCATCATCATCATCATCACCATCACCATCACCATTATCAACACCACCATCCTCCTCCTCATCATCGTCAGCATCATCATGCTCATCATCAGCATCATCAGCATCAGCATCAGCATCTTCATTGGCATCATCATCAGCATCACCAGCCTCATCATCAGCATCATCAGCATCATCAGCATCGTCATCGTCAGCGTCATCGTGATCGTCGTCATCATCATCATCGTCATCGTCATCGTCATCGTCATCAGCACCAGCATCAGCATCAGCATCAGCATCTACATCAACATCTACATCGTCGTCAGTGTCGTAATCAACATCGTCATCGTTATTCTGTCAGCCCGCCATGATCATAAGAATAGTTATCGTCGACGTGATCACAATC